TGATGAGCATATAAACAATAATGGTTATATGTAAAAACAGCATATATTCTGTGCTGTATAATTCTCCTAATGTTCTGCAATTACCTCCTCTTTCGTCTCTACTATTTAATTTCTTTAATATTCCAAGATATCAGATTTCCTATTATTTAATACCATCTCCTTTATAAGTCCTATAATGTCCTATACTTACTTTTCACCCTTCTCTTTATGCTCCAAAATATCATATGCCGAATTCTTTACTATCTTAACTTATTTGTTTTTGATGATCTAAGACTATACTTTCTATCATATGATTATCATAATGTTTAGTTAACTAAGAATCCTTTTTTTTTCTTTTCTAACAACTACTTTTTCCTAATGATTCCGATTCTTAGACATTTTATTCTTTATCATTCAGAACCTCAGAATTCCCAATTCATGCTTTCTTGTGTTCATTATTCTCTTGTTGCTGTTATTTCACATTATACAATTCTCCTTACAGTTTAAATCAGTCAGACCCCTTCTTCTCTGGTATTTTATCCTCTTTATGTTTCCCACTCTCTGACACCGTATTCTCTATTACCTCTTTCTCAATAGTCCTGCAGTTTCCAAATTTCTTACTGTTTCACGATTGAAAACTATGTTTTCTATCTCATTTTTCTTAACATTTCACAGTTTCAGACGTACTATTTTCTTTGTGTTCACAAATTAATTATTTTGTTTAATATGACCTCAGTTTTTAAATTATGTGATTATAACAGAACGAAAAAAAGAAAACATCTAGATAGATGTAAAAGAATATTTGCAATAGATTGTTCCATAGACATATAAAACTGTACATATCTATATACATTGGCAGACCAGCGTTGGAATTGATACTTAGATGGGCAGATCAATATTTTGTAATGTCAATGAAACCGTACAAAAATTTAATATCGCACTATATATAGGGATACACATCTAAACTCATCATTTGCGCAAGAAATCAGAGCAGAACAGGCACGTTCGTAAGAAATGTCGAAGGTTAACCCTTAATTGATATTTGCATGAAATAGGATTAAGTGAACCATTGTTTTCCTTATGCATTCATGTTTTAAAACCGCATTTTTGTGTTCTGAAATTTCGCTTAGATAAAATACTATCTAAACATTATGTAAAAAGAAAAAAAAAATATCTAAATACTGTTTCCAAAAGTGTAACATATGAGAAACATCATACGAAAAACGTATTAGATAAAGAAATCTAACGAAAAATCTAAGTATCAATTATGCACAGTTAACTTTGCAAACGTGTTACAAAAACATGGGTTGCTAAATAATGGAATATTTTGAATAAATACTATTTTATTGTTATATAAATTAGATATGAAAGAAACAAATAAGACGTGTTGTCATAGGATCTTAAGAAGAGAACCATAACTTATCATTATTATATTTCATGTGTCCTGGACTATGATAACAAATAGGTTCTTCTGAGAAGAAAACATGTCGTGTAAAGTTAACATGGAAAGTGTTTATGAAAGAGATGTTTGTTTTTTCAAATAACAGCTGTTTATGAAAGATTTGTTGGTAAACAACACATGTTTCTGACCAGTGTATAAATTTAATCTATCAATTATTTATGGAAGATCTGCTGTTAACAGCTGCTTTTGAAAGATGTTATTAAACAATAAGTTTTTCAAATTAGAATCTAAGTTTAACACGAGAATTATGATGATGTGTAATTAAATGATAGAACCTTCTCAGTAGTTCGTAACTTTAATGTAAAAAATGTTTTTGAAAGACGCGGTGTTAAATAACACAGCATTTGATTGGTGTATAAACTGAATAATATTGTTTAGTTTGATAGTTTATTCAACTGCTGAAGTTTTTCAGGCTTAATTCATTGTATAGTTTGATGGCCAAACCATGATTTGGGGATGAACCTGGACTTAGCGTACAGACAATGTTTTATGACTAATTTTATACAATTTGAGGGTGCTGAATTCAAATCTGTCGGGTGCCACTTTGTCACCCTTGGGTAATGGAGATATTCAAGATGGCTGCCATAAATTAAAAAGCAGATATCTCGGCTTCTAAATTACATAGAAATATCTTGTGTGATCTAAACCTAGTTTTGTTAGGCCGGGGAATTCAATAAAATAACCTTTTTAACTGTACTTTATTTAGCAGCGTCATATTCAAGAAGATGGCGTCCAAAATGGCCAACACCAGAACTATAACAACACAATGTCTCGTGTCATAAATGATATACATTAACCGTGTAGTCATCTAAATCTCGGTTTTTAGTTATAAAATAACAATTTGTTAAAGAAGTATCCATGAAAAGAAGTTTTGTTTTTGTTTTTGACAACAATTTAAAGAATATATGAAAAAGTTTACTTTATGATTAGACATCTCATCAATGAATAACTATATGTGATAGCTGTTTTTATCTGTCAATTAAATTGTGTGCATTATCATACATTTTTTGTTCTGTAAATTCTGATTGTGGTTTATCTTTGCAGAAAAAGGTGTGATATATATCAAGCTGTAATCCATGTTTGTGGTGGCATCACAATATAAACATATTTCTTTTTCGGGTGCTTCTGAAGTCCCTGCACATTGTTTCCTCGCTATCTTCAACTGTAATGCAGATAATTGTAAGCTTGTATCTGCTACCCAAGCAAGAATTAATGCTATAGTGTCTGCTAGTAGACTTACAAGTGATGGTTTGCATGAACATAAGAGCCTCGTTTGCACATCCTGAACACTAACCCTGTATATTATCAAAAAACTATGTGTCCACCTAGACGTCTAAGACTCATGTCTCAAGATATGTTTACAAGACAGAAGAACCTGCTTTGAGAAAGATACGTTGAGCTGAAGTGAATGTGTTTGATTTTAGGAAGCAATGTCTTTTTTGTGGTAAAGATTGCGAAACATATTGAGACCCAGGCGACATGTTATCCAGTGCAGAACAGTATATAGAGGATCTGAGAAAACTTTCAAACAGGCTATCCTTGATGTTTGTGACCAGAGTAATGATGACTTGGCTCAGCAAGTACGAGTACGAGTTCAAGGTGCACTCAGTGATTTGCATGCAGCTGATGCACAATATTTTAAAGACTGTGAAGCATCTTTCATGGTATCATGCAACATCCAGGCAGCCAAAAGAAGGGAGAAAAGCAATCAAAATGACAAGAAGATCAGGCATTTGAACTTTTGCTTAAAGACATAAAGAACAACGAGTTTTGAATATGGAATTATGTAGAACTGCACACATTGTATAAATTTTATCAAGGCAGTTACCTGTCTTATCAAGGCAATAATATATCACAAAAACAGTTAATGCAGGCTCATTCAGAACAGTTTGGTCAAGATTTGCTTGTTCTGTCAGACATAGAAGTGGCAAACCATCATTGTTTTTCGTAATAAGGCAGCAAGCTTTCTCAAACTGGTACCTGTTGATGAAGATGATGAAGAAATAGCTGTGACAAAGGTAGTCAGCGAATCCAAGTTACTTAAAAGCGACAAATCTCACTACAAGACGAGAATATGTATATATGGTGTTATTTCAGAGGTCAGTCCAACTTAGTTATATTTTCTTTAACAGGTATAATCAACGTCTGGCAACGGCATGCATGCTAGTATGGAGAGGAATATTGTTACAAGTGTTGTAACTAAGAGACCTACGCCTCTTCCAATTGCACTGGGAGTTGTTCTGAGAGACAAAGCAGTGCTTGAACAAATGTATGAATTCGGAATTTCCTGTTCCTATGATGAAATACGGCGGTTTAAGACATCGGCTGCAAATGCTGCCACTACAAATCATGAACTGGGGGGGTCTTTCACATACTGGTGTTGGATTGGTACAGGCCGTGGCAGACGACTTTGATGTTAACATATCGTCTAGGGATAGCCTGCGTTCTACGCATGTACTTTCAATACTCCAATGAACCTGATGTGCTTGTACAAAACTATACAGAATCCAAGAAACCTGACATGCCTGTAAAACACTATACAGGACCCCCAAAAAATTGGTATGCCAATGTGTGAGACCACCTGTACTCCCCTACCTCTAGTACGACCATTTTGGACGCTATCTTGAATATGACGCTGCACAATAAAAATACAGTTAAACCAATTATTTTGTATGATTTCTCGACCTCGAAAACCGGGATTTAGATCCAGAAAAGTCAGTTCTGTGTACATTAGGAGCTGTTTTTTAATTTATGACAGCCATCTTGGACGCCACCTTGAATATCTCAATTTCCCCAAGGGTAACAAAGTGGCACCCGACGGATATGAATTCAGCACCCTTAGATTATATAAAATCAGTCATAAGGCTTTGTCTGTACGCGAAATCCCACTTTTTCAAATTTCTTTTACATTAGTATACTTTCTCTAGTCATCGTTGTTATCACAATATTTGGTGCATTGTGTTACTTAAGTAAAGTTATATATCTTACGCGCATTTTAATACCTGCTGCTTAATTATTGATATGATTTATTTTACTGAGATATATCCATGTATATCCAAATCGAATTACTGTACTAAAAATCAACTCATTTTTATTGTTATACACACCTGCACTTCTTCCGGAAAAAGTATTGTTAATTCTCTCATAATTTCCAAATATACATATATATAATTAAGTTCCAATATAATAATAATATTGTATGTATTATATAGGAATATTTGTGTTCATTTATCACGCAAAATTCATCTTGGAATGTATTCCTTTCAAAAACCATAACAAATTAGTGAAAACAAAGAAACAAAGACGTTTTTCTGTGATTTCCCTTTAGTCTACTGCAGAAATAAATGAGCCATTGATCGATGGCTCTCAAATTTAAAGGGCAGAAACGTAGAAACATACTCTTTGAACTCTCTATAGTAATTATAGCTTGTTTTATATAAAAACTGTGAATTCCTCAGAAGAGTGCCCGCTAGGAGGCGACCATTTTCATTGCTATAGCAACGACCGTACTCCTATGATCGGTTATCACAGAAGAGACTTACAGTAAATGTATTTTGGAACGTAGATGCCAGACGACCCAAGAGGCAACCAGGAAAAGAGCAGCTGGTTAGAAATTCGCTGGTCGTTTTGTCGAGGTACTGTAGAACGAACGATCTAGACTTGTAAGAAACTCTCACGACCTTCTCTACTTTCCTCGTCTTCACGGTAAGGAAAGATAATCTAGTTGGTCTAGAGTGCAGGATTACTTATGGTTTCAGTAACGAATTTGTGTTTCTGTCTTAGAGAAGAAATTATTGTCTGTAATCCTGCATAATTTTCGAAACCATTATTGCTGAATATAGCCTCGGGTTACATTTATAAGAATATTGTTACAACCAATATCCTGGTTTATGTTTCTAAAACTTTGCTACTACCGTAATTCTGGGTTATCCTTATAAAACAACCTTTCTATAAAAACCAGGGATATATCTTTTAGCATCTTTAACAGCAAATAAACCAGGTTACATTTCCAGGACATTGTTACTACTCTGACTTCGAATTACATTTGTATAAAAAAACCTTCTAACAAGCCCTGAATTATCTTCTTTTTAGCATCTTTATCCAGCATGAAGTCTGTTTCTCTATCTAGAAAATTATTTCTAACGAACCTCTGGTTATCGTTATTTAGCATCTTTGCCAGTACGAAGCCTGGTTATCTTTCTAGAACATGGTTTCATAAAACACCCAGGTTATTTATTGGGCATTTTTGCCAGTACGAAGCCTGTTATCTTTTTAGAACATGAATTCTAAAAAACCCAGGTTATTTGTAGGGCATTTTTGCCAGTACGAAGCCTGTTATCTTTCTAGAACATGGTTTCTAAAACAACCCAGATTATTTATAGGGCATTTTTGCCAGTACGAAGCCTGGTTATCTTTCTAGAACATGATTTCTAAGAAATCCTGGGTTATCGTTTTTGGGTATCAAGAATTCTGGTTAAATCTTACAAAACGTTATAATAATCAAGACCTATTTTTCAGCTATTCATTACCCATGAGAGAAAAAAATCTCTTGGCCCTAAGTTATCTTTATAAAACAGTCTTGGTTTCATAATATCTAATTATCTTTCTAAAGCATTCTCGATATCACAGTCTGATATTATCATTATCAAAGTACCATATTATCTCTGTGAAAAATTCTTGGTATCACAATCTCGGGTTAATTTTATTTAAAGCTCTAAGTGTCATGACTTTAATATATCGATATTGAACACTCAGGATGTATTCTTAACTAATCATTGTGTTATCATACAAAGTAATCAAGGTACGAAAAAGCACTAATATTTAACCTTATCTTTTACTGATCTAACTTTAACTTTTGATAATTTCACATTTTATTAAGCATGCTAAATATTTTATACAGTATATCTTAACCTTAACATCCAACTAAACAATCATGTTTCTTTTAGGTATTCAGTATTTTTGGTATTTTCGTAGGAGCTGCTTTTGTGGTTATTCTTAAGCTATTTTAACCTTTCACGCTTATGTAATTTTACGTATGGCACATCACCGTCCTCGCTCCATTTTCCCTTCATTCAATACTCGTACCTTCACTAGTATACATCTTTATGTATATTGATTTTGACTTCGGTGTATTGTCTAGCTACCTAAGAACTTTGTATTAAACATATAAATTCCAAGTTAATAAAAACTCATATTTAAGCTAAACACGATACCCAGCTACATAAAGACTTAATCTTAGCACAACAATAACCATAACCTACTTAGGTACTTAAAAAACCCCTTTTATATAACAGACAACTACTAGCCATTTAAGAACCTCGTTTTTGTATAATTATACAGCTCTTAGCTATTTAAGGACTTCGTGTTTCTATAGCAATATCATATCTAACTACATGTTTATATAACAATACAATACCCAACTACTCGAGGACTTCATGTTTGTAGAACAACACAACTCTTACCTACTTAATGACTTCATATTTACATAATAATAGCCTATCTAGGAATATAAGAACCTCATGTCTGTATAACAATACATTTACTAACTACCTAAGCTTATATGGCAATACAAACTACTTAGCCAGGTGTTTAGGGCGCTTAAATCTCAATCTGAAGGTAGAGGGTTCAATCCCCATACCCCCAAACATGCTCGCCCTTTTAGCCATGGGGGCGTTATGGTTTGACGGTCAATCCCACTATTCGTTGGTAAAAGATCAGCCCAAGAGTAGATGACTAGCTACCTTTTCTCTAGTGTTTCACTGCTGAATTAGGGACGGCTAGCGCAGATAGCCCTCGTGTAGCTTTGCGCGAAATTCAACCGAACTATATAAGAACCTCATGTTTCTATAACAATAAAACTGTTAGCTAATTAAGAGCCTCATGTTACATGTTACAATACCGAACTACTTAAGGAACCCATGTTTGTATAACAATACCGAACCACTTAAATACCTTATGTTTATGTAACAATAAAATGATCAGCTACTTAAGAACCTCATGTTTGTATAACAATACTGAACCACTTAAATACCTTATGTTTATGTAACAATAAAATGATCAGCTACTTAAGAACCTTATGTTCATATTACAATTCCGAACTACTTAAAGACCTCATGTTTATATAACAATAAAATTATTAGCTACTTAAGAACCTTATGTTCATATTACAATTCCGAACTACTTAAAGACCTCATGTTTATATAACAATAAAATTATTAGCTACTTAAGAACCTTATGTTCATATTACAATTCCGAACTACTTAAAGACCTCATGTTTATATAACAATAAAATTATTAGCTACTTAAGAGCCTCATGTTACACGTTACAATACCAAACTACTTAAGGATTTAATGTTTATTTTACAATACAATAGCCTAATAATTTTGTAAAATATTTCGTGTTGAAATCATCTTGCTACCTATTAGTCTAATAAAATGTAGAAATTATCAGAGAGCTATCTGTCTATTCGGTAGAAAATTATCTGGCGCAGGTTTTTTTTTTTTTTATAAATAGCTGTCTATATTCTTTAAACAAACTTATATTTGTTTCGATTCAAAGACTTTTTTTAAACTTCTGAGCCAATAAGATAAATAAAAGCTTATGCCAATTAAACCTTAGTTAATTTTGATGACGAGGAACCCACTTTTTAGAAAATAAAAGTTTGGAGAGACATAATATTATCGAAACGTTGCACATTTATAATAAGGTTTTCTTCATTATCCATTCAAGCCGTCTCCAAACTTTTAAACCTTAGTAACTTTTCGTTTTTAACAACTACAGAAGGAACGGCGTTCTTCACAAATTATTTTTCCGTCGAATTCATTTTAGCCTAAGACGTTTTCTAACAATTATCAGACGAGACATTTTTTCTATAAACAACCAACCGTCAATTATTTATTTTGCGGCAGTAGAAATACAAAATGCCTACACGCTATTGTAGTATATTTAAAATATAAAGTCACAGAGTAGCATGTAATAACTAATAATGGCCTACAATGTGATATAATGAAAAGTAAAACAGCAAAAATGTTTAATTTGGCTGTTGTCAGAATCATTATCTGCACGGTCAAATATGAATTTCTGTTTATGTGGGTAAGATGTGAAATTGTAGCATGTGTAATGAGCTAACAGGCTTAATCACAAGAATTTCTAATAATCAGAACATTGAACGACAGTACCGAGATGGGTAAGATGTGAAATTGTGGCATGTGTAATGAGCTAACAGGCTTAATCACAAGAATTTCTAATAATCAGAACATTGAACGACAGTACCGAGATGGGTAAGATGTGAAATTGTGGCATGTGTAGTGAGTTAACAGTCACACGAATTTCTAATAATCAGAACATTGAACGACAGTACCGAGATGGGTAAGATGTGAAATTGTAGCATGTGTAGTGAGCTAACAGGCTTAATCACAAGAATTTCTAATAATCAGAACATTGAACGACAGTACCGGGAATTTGCTAAACCGAATAAATATTTTATTGAGTAGCTTTAAATTTTTTTGTTTCTTATTAATATCCCTCCCATTAACTACAAATACAAACTCAAAAGAAAAAAAAAAAGGAAAAGATTTAGTATTGTTGTTTGGGAGATTTTTATTCTATGTAATATTACAGACATTCTGTTGCTGTTTTGCTAATATTAGATAACATTAGCTGACAGAACGATGCATTTAATATTATCATTCATGATGTTAGAAGTCTTGAGAAAAATGAATAGAAACCCTATAACCCGAGCGCTTTGGAAAGGTGGTCCACCTTTCGAAAGTGCTCGGGTTATAAGGTTTAATATTATTATAACATACTTATCTTTTCTGGTTGAGGTTAGATCTTTACCTAACAGTGATCTTCACTTTAGTAGCATACTCAATGTCTCAGAACTATTTAACTACAATAAGCGAATATAGTTTTAACCTTTCGAGAGGAAAATCTATACTTAACCTTAATAAAATCATTCGTTTATTATTGATGCGCTTATAAGTATTTCAATATCATTTGAAAAGTATTAGTTATTCCGGCTAAATAGGCTAGAATGTTTCAAATAATGAACAAAGTTAAACTATTTTTATCGTTCTTCACAAAGCAGAAACTCTCAACAGGATGAGTGACATATGCAAAGCACTGTATTCAAGTTATATGATGTTATTTCCCATAACTTCACGTATTTTGTGTGTGTTTTAAGTAACAGAATATCAGAATAAATCAAGATGCAATTACACCACGTGACCAATGGACCCAACTGTGGTAGGCTATAAAAAAGAAAAACTTTTTCTCGTAATGGGTGATGGTTGAGTCTAGTGTTTCACAAAATGAAGGTTGGCAGAATATTAACCAATTGCCTTAGACGTCTAAGCTCTGAGTCACGTGATATAAGCTCGTAATTTGACCGTTAGAGAAGGGAGCTTGTTTGTCTTGTTCCTGTTCTAACTGGCATCGATTGAACATGGCAGAGAATATGTTGACTGGGATAACTACATTTTATTAGTATTCTCATGAGGTTGTTGTTTCTAATTTAACAGCGTAACATTTAATACTTTGGCTAAACGAAAACGAATTCAAAATTTGTATAGTAGTCAGAAACACCTGTTGATATAAAAATTACGAGGAAAAGCAGTAGCGTAGTCAGGTTCAGATAATTGGGTCTTAAAACCTTTGATGTAGCTATAACCAACAAGTTCATTGTACATTTTTTAACACAATCAGTGCAATTG